AGCTCAAGGCTCTTCTGCTCCAAAATGCTCCCCTCCAAACAAATGATCACAGGGGGGTATTTATAACCCCTGGACGAATAACTACTTCCGAGACAGTGTTTGCTGTCTCGGCGGTCGAGACAGCAAAGACTGTCTCGGGTTCCGAGACAGTAAACACTGTCTCGGGTTCCGCATGCGAGACAGCAAAGTCTGTCTCGCACGGCGAGACAGCAAAGTCTGTCTCGCTGGGCGAGACAGTCTATACTTGTGTCCTTTTGTTGATTTTTTGGATGATCTTCTCTTTGAGCTACATTTGGATATCTTTCAGTATTTTTTGACGCCTACAGATACCCCCTCCAAAGTATTCCAGACTCATTCCTTTATAGAGGAGTCTGGGATACTTTGGATAAGATGGGTCTAACTTTTAATCCTTTCAATACTTGATTGAGTAGATCATACGGAAGGACCCATAAATGGCTTCAACTCTTGACTTCTTCATCTTTTAGCCTATTCAGTGCTTTGTAGAATAGCTAAAATTCCTTCGGTGTTGCGCTTATCACGTGGCCGTTGTCGAAGTCTTGAATTAGAACTGCTATTGAAGAATGGAGAAATAGTTTATACTCATATATTTTATTGGAGTGTTCGGGAAATAGTTTAACCTCATATACCCGTTAGAAGGTAATCAGGTTATTCTTAAGAATATTCTGAGTAATATTCTCCAGAAAATTTCTGTTGTGGGTAGGGAAACAGTTTAGACTCGTGTACCTATTGGAGTAACATTGTCTCTTTTTTGTTGGTAAAGATGAACCCAATGATGGAGAGGAAGAATTTTATATTCTATCTCCTAGTCTCTTTTTTTGTTGGTAGAGATAAACCCGAAATCGGAGAGGAAGAATTTTATATTCTATCTCCTGGTCTCTTGTTTGTTGGTAGAGATAAACCCGAAATCGGAGAGGAAGAATTTTATATTCTATCTCCTGGTGTAAAGGAAACTCGAAGTGGGCTCTTCACTTAGAGAATCTTGATTGGTTTGAATAATCCTAACTGTCATAAGGTTTGATTATTCAATTCAAAGTTGGACCTTTCGTTCGCAAAATGAATCGAAAGGAGATTTTGGCTGTGGTCCTAACTGTAGTAAGGTTTGACCAAGTGGGAGTTTCGAGGTGATCCTAACTGTAGTAAGGTTTGATCACTCGATTTATGGACCTCTCGTTCATTGGTAGGGATGTTTGATCACTCGATTTATGGACCTCTCGTTCATTGAAGGAATCGAGAGGGGATTTTAGCTTTGGTCCTAACTGTTTAAAGGTTTGACCAAGATGCTGTTTAAAGGTTTGACCAAATGGGAATTCGAGATGATCCTAACTGTTTAAAGGTTTGATCGTTCAATTTGTGGACCTCTCGTTTATGAGAGGAATCGAGAGGGGATTTTGGCTTTGGTCCTAACTGTTTAAAGGTTTGACCAGATGTGAGTTTGAGACGATCCTAACTGTTTAAAGGTTTGATCGTTCAATTTATGGACCTCTCGTTCATTGAAGGAATCGAGAGGGGATTTTGGCTTTGGTCCTAACTGTTTAAAGGTCTGACCAAGTGAGACGATCCTAACTGTTTAAAGGTTTGATCGTTCAATTTTTGGACCTCTTGTTCATGGAAGGAATCGAGAAGGTATTTTAGTTTTGGTCCTAACTGTTTAAAGGTTTGACCATGTGAGGACTTGAGACGATCCTAACTGTTTAAAGGTTTGATCGTTCAATTTGTGGACCTCTCGTTCATAAAAGGAATCGAGAGGAGATTTTGGCTTTGGTCCTAACTGTTTAAAGGTTTGACCAATGTTTGCGGAAAAAGTTGCTGTATTCATTGCTGCATTCATTACAACTTCAATCGTTACAATGAAACAAAAAGATAGCCTTTTTATAAGACCGGTACACAATGAAAACAAAAGAAATACAACTCCTTTCAAACAAACGCAAGATCTGTTCATCATCTCTTGCTTGCGTGGGTCTTTTGCCTGTGACGGGGATGTTGATATCCGTGGACCACCGGGGCACTCAGATCTGATCCGGATAAATCGGACAGAGTTTCGTTGATCCGCGTGAGATCTAGAAACTTTCTGATCCGGATAAATCGGACAGAGCTTCGTCTATCCGCGGAGGGATATAGAAGCAGAGCTTCGTCGATCCGCGTGAGATCTAGAAGCTATAAGCGTATACCTCGGCTAAAGCGAGGTATCCACAAATCCGAGACACCCCTAGGGTGTCTCGGAATTTCCGAGACACCCTTGGGGTGTCTCGGATTTTCCGAGACACCCTAGGGTGTCTCGAAAATTCCGAGACACCTTGGGGTGTCTCGGATTTTCCGAGACACCCCTAGGGTGTCTCGAAATTTCCGAGACACCCCTGGGGCTGTTTTGGAACTCCTGAGACGTCCGCTGAGGTGTTTGATTGTTTTCCCCGTGAATTCTTCGTCCGAACTCGGATTTGAGTGATTCCGGGTGCGTTGGATGCCTGACGAAGAGTTCGATCCACCCTGGTATTTGGATTATCTGTAGAGTGGTCGAGGCACGAAGGGCGTTGTCCTTTTTGTGAACACCGCCGGGTTCCCGATTGGTCCGGGTCTTGGTTGTTCCGAAATCCTATCAGCTCACGTAGTTCGTCGATTCACTTCAACCGTTCATCGACGTTAATTGGACTCTTGTGGATCGGATAGTGATGTTCATCGTCGCTCTTTAACAATGAACCGTTCGTGGAGACCTATAGGCAATTTGTGCTGGCTTAGGGTTTCGGATCATCGTGTGTTGACTTTTTATCGCAACGCGTTGACCGGCGTTGACCTAGGGTTACGCGTTGACCGGCGTCGACCCTAGGGTTTCGAATCGTCGAACGTCGACTTTTGTTGCAACGCGTTGACTGGCGTTGACCTAGGGTTACGCGTTGACCGGCGTTGACCCTTAGGGTTTCGAATTGTCGAACGTTGACTTTTTTTGCAACGCGTTGACTGGCGTTGACCTAGGGTTACGCGTTGACCGGCGTTGACCCTTAGGGTTTCGAATCGTCAAACGTTGACTTTTGTTGCAACGCGTTGACTGGAGTTGACCTAGGGTTACGCGTTGACCAGCGTTGACCCTGTGCTGGCTTAGGGTTTCGGATCATCGTGTGTTGACTTTTTATCGCAACGCGTTGACCGGCGTTGACCTAGGGTTACGCGTTGACCGGCGTCGACCCTAGGGTTTCGAATCGTCGAACGTCGACTTTTGTTGCAACGCGTTGACTGGCGTTGACCTAGGGTTACGCGTTGACCGGCGTTGACCCTTAGGGTTTCGAATTGTCGAACGTTGACTTTTGTTGCAACGCGTTGACTGGCGTTAACCTAGGGTTACGCGTTGACCGGCGTTGACCCTTAGGGTTTCGAATCGTCAAACGTTGACTCTGATTGCAACGCATTGACTGGCGTTGACCTAGGGTTACGCGTTGACCGGCGTGAACCCTAGGGTTTCGAATCGAATGTTGATTGGTGTTGATTTTCATCAAAACATCCAATAATCGACGAAAACGGGCGTATCCGGGTCCAAAACAGGCATACGAGGACAAAACGGGACTCGAGATGCCCGGGGGTGTCTCCCCCTTGGCCGAGACACCTTGGGGTGTCTCGGCCAAGGGTTGATGGGTGTTGATTTTCATCAAAACATCCAATAATCGACGAAAACGGGCGTATCCGGGTCCAAAACAGGCATATAGGACGAAACGGGACTCAAAACACCCGGGGGTGTCTCGCCTTTGGCCGAGACACCTTGGGGTGTCTCGGCCAAGGCCGAGACACCCTAGGGTGTCTCGGTTCTAGGGCCGAGACACCCCCCCCTCTTGCTTCTTTTCTTTTGTCTTTTTCCCTTTTTTGCTTTGTTTCTTTTTCCTTTTGTTTTGGTCCATTACTTCTTTTGTTTTCCCCCCTTCTTTTCAAAATTCAAAAGAGAGTTCCCTCTCTTACTTAGCTCAAAACCGAACCCCCTCCCCTCTATTTCGGTTTTGAGGTTCTTCTTCCCCAAACTTCTTTCCTCCATTGAAGATCCCATCAATCTTTAAGCAATCTTGGATTTTAGCGGATACCCATTGGCCGGAAGCTTGCATTCCCCAAATAGGGTTCTCTCCTCCATCTTCAAGCTCTGGCCGAAAGCTCGTATTCTCCAAATAGGGTTCCCTCCTTCATCTTCAAGCTCAAAGAAACTCTACTTTGGTTTGGTAAGCTTCCTTTCACAATCCTCTTATTTTCTTGTAAAGATTGCATTTTTAGGCTTGTAGTAGGGCTAGGGTTGTGTATGCACCATACATTGGGGTGTTTTGTGCAAAAAAAGGTGACATGGCCGAATTTTTGGGGGGCTTATTTGCAAAATAGGGGCTGAAATTCGTGGGGTTTTATTTGCAAAAGTGGGACTGAAATTTGGGTATTGAGTTTATGTCCACTTGGTGAAGGGATGTGGGGGGTGCTTTATGCAATAGGATTAAGGAGTTGTTTGAGGGGTTTATTTGCAAAACAGCCCCTAAACGTTTTGGAGGGGCTTATTTGCAAAAAGAGCCACGAATTTGGGGCTGAAATCCAAGAAGTTTAAACCCCCGGCCCTTGATCGAATTTTTGGTGAAAGCATATGGATGCAAAACCAAAAGTTCATGGAGGGACTTTTATGTAAAATTGACCAAATTCTGCAAAAGGGCTTATTTGCAAAATTTGATCAAAATTATAGGGTACCGGGATGTTCGATGATCAAGTATGATGACCATAACCCGAGTCATACGTGTCCTTGACCTGAATTTGGCCTTGAGCACGAGGGGTATTTTGGGTATTTCACCAAAATTTTCCGCGAAATGACGATTATCGTTTCGCGTGCACGAAATTCGTAGGCTTAATTAGACTTTAACTACAAAATCCTATTTGTTATTAGGATTTCGAGTCCAAGTGCTTAATTTCCCTTCTTCCGATATTTCGTGTATATATATCGTACCTGATGTACTGCTCTTCATTGCAGATTCACGATGTCTCCCCGTCGGTCTCGTCTTTCCGGGAGTCACCCTTGCTCGCAGCATGGCGTGGAGGAGGCTCCTACGACATCATCTCCAGTGACCTCTTGCTTTGGGGGTAAGAATCTTATATATATTTTTTTCTTTTATCCCGGATTGACCTCTCGCGGGTCATGACGGAAGAACCGATACCCCTCCCGCGGGGGTTAAGGTTTCGGACTTGCTTTGCTTAGCCAATTCAAGTCCTCGGTTATATTGGGGCGATCTCGTGTTGCCTTACACCTTATAGGTCGGTATATGTTATCACGGTGTCTACGTGATGACGCATACCGTTCTCCCGGTGTAGGGCACTCGAAATCGAATAATCTCGTCTTGCGTTTATGACATGGATTTTCTGACTCCATCTTTGCTTTGTTGCAGTTGAGTTTCCCGGGGGTAGTCTCCCTCATCATGCCCCTACCGGTTGTAGTAGGGAAGTGTTTTCTTCGGCTTCTGCCAGGCAGATCATCGATCCCCTTCCGCAGTTCGACAGAGATCGCTCAGACGAGTTCTGTCGCTTGATAAAGGATGGAGGGCGTCACTGTTTACGCCAACTTATCACCGATGCTCCTCTCACCGCAGACGCCACTTCTACTGAAGCTTTAAAGAAGCCGGGTTTTCTATTCGGGGATCGCACCGAAGATCCTGCCGCGCTGACTCTTGCTGAGGAGCACTGGCTTACCCTTGACGAGGGAGCTCTTTTATATATCCCCTCTATTCCTCGCCAGTGCTCTTTTACTGACTTGGAGAAACAGGCTGTGGGGCGACAGATGTCCTGGCCTCTTACCAATGCTGTTACACACGTTCAGTGCGGATACATTTCTCATCACAAGAGTCCCGGTTCTCTGGGGTATCAATCCATTTGTGGCCTTCGACCCGGGATCATGGGTCTTGACACTGCACCTCCAGGCGAGGTATCGGCGGCCGCTCTCACCGTGAGGAATCGTTTAGCTCATCTGGGAAGACAATTACCTCGACTGGATTACCGATGTTATGGTTGGGCTTCCTCACTGGCTAAGGGATGGTGGACCCGTTTGACCAGTTATGTTCTGGGACGCTGGGAGAGAGACTTGAAGGGTAGTGGATTATATACGCCCATACGGGCTACTATGTATGGACTTCCCGTTAGCTGCCGTCACTTCTTGGCATTGCTCGAGACATATATGCCTGATAGTAATACCTTCTTGACCAGTGGCGGAGAGCTAGGGTTGGCTCTTCATGAGATGCACCAGGTTTCCGGGCTTTCGATGGGAGATTGCCCGTATCAGGAATACTTCCCTTCTAACCAACAGTTGGAGTGTTTGAAGAAGGATACTCCCGATGTGTATGACACTCTCTGGGACCTCACCTGTCATTATCACACCTGTTTGCTCCAGAGTTCTCCTCCAGCGAAGACGAAGAGGAAGATCAGCTTGAAGCAGTTTGCTGTTTACCTGTTTCCTAACTTGGAGGATGATTCCGAGGAGTCCATACATGAGTTAGGCGTTTTGCCCCCTGCCGCTATTAATGAGCTGATGGAGAAGAATGAAACTCATTCTTATACCATTGCTAGTGCCGAGGGGGCTTTTCCGGCCGGGACTAAGTTTCGATCGTTCCTCTATCATGCCCAGAAGTCTATCGATCCTCGGTCTCTGTTAGCTGGCTACCTTGCTCTTTGGCTGAAGAAGTGTGTTGTTCCATATCAGTCTTCAGACGCTCTACCCCTCGAGGTGCTCTTCCCTGCGGTCCAGCTAGCTTATGGGAGGGAGCTTTCTCTGCTTCCAGCGATGGTTGCCAGCATCCATTGCGGGCTTAGGGGTGTAGTTCGTGTTCTTACCCAAGTGGGTTCTAAACCCTCGACTGAGCTTACCTGCCCGAAGGTTGAGCTGCCCTACGCTTATTTGATGGCGTGGTTCGTTCTTCACCGTCCGGACTTGATGTCGGCGCCCAGCGCCGTTGATGTTCCCGTTCCTTTCCTACAGCTGTTGGAGGAGAGTAGATGGGTTGGGAAGAAATTTGAAGATGTACAAAAAGAACTTCGAGTTCGCAGGAACTGGGAGTTCTTCAAATGCTTCCCTCGCTTTTCGGGACGTTATGGCGAGGAGTTGACTGATATGGAGAAACCCCGAACTAACCGGACTGCTCTCGACGTCGGTTGTTTCCGCTGGTTGGTGAACATCCGAGTCGGGTATCTTGTTCTCCGGGTGAAGGACCGCTGCCACATAGAGCCTTACCTTCCCTGCCGTTTCGCACGTCAGTTTGGCTATGACCAACTATACGTTGGGAATCCGAGTCGTAGTTTGCGTGTTGAGGGAGGACTCGTTGACGGCGTACGGGCGTGGTTATGGACCATGGTTGGCTGCACCGGGGCTCAGTTTGCTCTTCCCTCCTATAAACGCAATCCAATGATTACCTTCCTCAGCTGTAAATGGTTCCTCTCTGCCGATGAATCCATAAGTGTGAGGAGTCTTTCGGAACTAGAATCCGATCACTTGGTTCAATCTGCTATGATGGCTGCTCGCAGGGCTGAGCCTGCTCAGAGACAGAGGAAGAAGCCCACCGGAATTCCCGAAGGGGAGTATGCAGATATAGATACCGACCAAGCAGAACTTGATACAGGTTTGTCATGCTCTTTGATCCTCTTTCTCGACTTCAATTGGTATTGGCGAAAGATCTGGTTCATGAGATGATTCTTGTTGTTTCAGGTGGGGTAGCTGACGACCATGGGTCGCTCGCTTCCCGTCGTGCGAAATCCAAGTTTGGTGGCCAAACTTCGCATGACCGCCCCGTTGGTTCTATGAGGGGTGATCCTTCGAAAAGGAAAAAGATTGCCCATAAACCTCATGTTGATCAGCGCTCCCATGGGGTAGATTCAGGAGGCTTTGCCGACGGGGAGGAAGGTAACATTTTGTTGTACCCACTTTTATTGCTTTAAGATGATTTACCTTCCGGGATCCCTGATCCTGTTTCATAATTCAGGGTTCTTCGAGGAGGGTGAGCTTCCGCCAGGTCCGGTATTCTCTGGGGCTGACAACATGGACTGCTTCATGCAGCAGGTGTGCGACGCCCTTCGTGAGTGAGGGTGAAACCTTAACGGGCTCTTGGTCTTTTGCACGCACTGCCAAGCTGGCCGTTGCAGGAATCCGTTTGTTAGGAGGTCGCGTACGACCCCCAGTCCGGATGTTGGCTTGCAGCTCCTTCAATGATCTCCAGCTTTCCTTATCAAGCGCTTTTCTTCGATTCTCGGGTAGAGCGCCGATACGGTCCTCCAGAGGAATCCTAAGCTTGGTGAAATCTCCGCTGCGGTGGGGATTCATCGGAGGTTCGGGATCTGAAGTTGACGAAGGCCAGAGAGCAACGTCGCCTGCTTTTGCCTTAGGCGTTGATTTGGCCTTTGGCACCCAAACTCGGTTGGATCCTCCTTATCAAGCGCTTTTCCTCGATTCTCGGGTAGAGTGCCGATACGATCCTCCAGAGGAATCCTAAGCTTGGTGAAATCTCCGCTGCGGTGGGGATTCATCGGAGGTTCGGGATCTGAAGTTGACGAAGGCCGGAGAGCAACGTCGCCTGCTTTTGCCTTAGGCGCTGATTTGGCTTTTGGCACCCAAACTCGTTTGGATCTCGGCGATCTCTTAACTGCCTTTTCCTTTTGCATTTCTCGTGCTTTTTGCACTAGGGCTCGGGCATGCGCACGCAAGGCGCGGCGCTTCTGGATTCGTTCCTCGAGAGTAGAACGGGTTCTTTTGCCAAAATCCCCTCTCGATTCCTCCAATGAACGAGAGGTCCACTTTCAAATCGAGTGATCAAACCTTCCTATAGTTAGGGTCATCTCAAACTCCTGCTTGGTCAAACCTTCATACAGTTAGGACCACAGTCAAAATCCCCTCTCGATTCCTCCATGAACGAGAGGTCCACTTGGAACAGTCAAACCTATAAAAGTTAGGATTGTTTCCGATCTCGCTTAGTCGCCTACACATGGTTACCTTTCTGTACCCGTTTGGAGAGGCGGATCTGGAGGAGGAGGAAGAGAGGCCTTCTTTGAACTGTTGTCGATCGAGTTCGTATTCTTCATTCACCCGGATCTTGAATGCCGGTTGCGTCACGACGGCGTCGGTAGCGATGCCGTTGGCTCCCTGTGGGCGCTGATGAAACTCACGAAGTCAACGCAACTTCGCACCAACAAGTGTGGCGTTTGTACTTCGATGGCGCCTCTCGAGCAGCTCTTGTCACAGATAGCCTTTTTACAACTTGTTTGCGGAAAAAGTTGTAAAGGTAGCGATGCCGTTGGCTCCCACTGTGGTCGCCAGCTTGTTTGCGGAAAAAGTTGATGTATTCATTACTGCATTCATTACAACTTCAATCGTTACAATGAAACAAAAAGATAGCCTTTTTATAAGACCGGTACACAATGAAAACAAAATAAATGCAACTCCTTTCAAACAAACGCAAGAGCTGTTTGTCATCTCTTGCTTGCGTGGGTCTTTGGCCTGTGACGGGGACGTTGATATCCGTGGACCACCGGGCAATCAGATCCGCTCCGAGAAAATCGGGCAGAGCTTCGTCTATCCGCGAAAGGATATAGAAGCAGAACTTCGTCGATCCGCGTGAGATCTAGAAGTTTTAAAGCGTATACCTCGGCTAAAGCGAGGTATTAGCTCTTCTTAGTATTAACGCTAAAGGCTAATACTAAGGCTCGGACGGGTGATGAAGGCTCTGATCAAGACCTCTCCTCCTCTTGTTGAAGCACACGGGCACTCTTCACTGCAGCAGGGCTTCGCCAAGCTCTCCAAAAATCCTCCCCCTCTCTCTCTAGCCTTGCTCCAAGACAAAAGAATTCCAGCCCTTTGAATGAGGACCCAAGGGGTCTATCCCCTAGGGTGTCTCGGAATTTCCGAGACACCCTTGGGGTGTCTCGGAATTTCCGAGACACCCTTGGGGGTGTCTCGGAATTTCCGAGACACCCCTAGGGTGTCTCGAAATTTCCGAGACACCTTGGGGTGTCTCGGATTTTTCGAGACACCCCTAGGGTGTCTCGGAATTTCTGAGACACCCCTGGGGGTGTTTTGGAACTCCTGAGACGTCCGCTGAGGTGTTTGATTATTTTCCCCGTGAATTCTTCATCCGGACTCGGATTTGAGTGATTCCGGGTGCGTTGGATGCCTGACGAAGAGTTCGATCCACCCTGGTGGTTGGATTATCTGTAGAGTGGTCGAGGTACGAAGGGCGTTGTCCTTTTTGTGAACACCGCCGGGTTCCCGATTGGTCCGGGTCTTGGTTGTTCCGAAATCCCGTAAGCTCAAGTAGCCCGCTGACTCACTTCAGTCGTTCGTCGACGTCGATTAGGCTCATGTGGATTGGATGGTGACGTTCATCGTCGCTCGTTAACACTGAACCGGTTGTGGAGAACTATATACTCGTATACTCTTTGGAGTGAGGAAAAACAGTTTATACTCGTGCACCCAATGGAGTTAGATTCGTCTTTACTTGGCTTGTTTCGCCGTTATGACGCCGGAGTCAATTAAGGCTTGGATTTTATTTTTGAGTCCAAAGCAAATCTCGGTGGGATGAAGAACCCTTCTGTGGTACGCACAGTAGTTTGGATCCGTAACCCTCTTAGCTCCCTCCTGATCTTTAATAGGTGGTAGCTCGATTTTGTCATTGGTGAGGAGGTATTTCAATATGGCTGGAGCTTCATCATCTTCGAAAGAATACTCCTTTTGGAACTTCGGATCGAGAGTCGCGTTCCCAGTGATTGCAGATGTCGTCGGTCGGCTTCTCTCAGCTTTCTTTCTTTTAAGAAAGTATTCGACTTGTTCGCCACGTAGTTTTAACTCTTTCCAAGTAGTGGATGGCACGACCCCCAGGGCTTCCAGGATATCGATGGAGAGATTATTGTGGCATGTCTGCAGGATGAACTCCTCTGTAACAGGATCTCTGCAATTCATTGCCTTGTTACGGAAGCGCTTGACAAAATTATCGACTGACTCTCCGTCTTTTTGCTTCTCATTTAAAAGGGTTCCGATTGACACATCGGTGTCATCATCGAAGAAATTGATGAGGAATAAACTTTCCATGTCATCCCAGCAATTGATGCTTCCTGGCTTGAGACGCCGATACCAATCGAAGGCCGACCCGCGAAGGGTGCCAACGAATGACCGGACCATTAAAGCCTCATTTCTAGAGATCATGCCCAAATGAGACTTGAAATAAATCAAGTGCTGAGTAGGCGAGCTTTTCCCGTCAAACGGTGTGAAGTTAATCAAATTAAATTTGGCTGGGTATGGTATTGAATCCCATTCTCTTGGATAGGGACACGGAATACCCGTCTTCTTTACTTCCTGAGCGGACATCTCTATAACATTACGAGTGTGATGGCTGGATTCAGCTCGCTGACTGGACTCAGGAAGTTGAGACCGTTGAGCTAGCAATTCTTTTATTTGTTGAATAGCTAACTCCATCTCTGTCTTCATCTCAGCTCTAATTTCTTCACGTTGCTTCGCTAGAGCTTCTTGAAGCATTTGAGCAAACTGATCAGAAGTGATTGTGAACACTTCTTTGGTTTGTCCCGTGCTAGACACTGTATCATCAGAAGCGATTGCAGAACAAGTGTCCGAGAGTTCATCTTTCGAAGACATTCCTTCCTGTATTCTCTTGTAGTCTCTACGTCTGATAGTTCCTAACTGGAGTCGAGACATCCGTTGGGCAATTCTTGAATTGACTTTTCCTCTTGGAGAAAAGTCGGGATTTGATTCACTTGAATGCCGCTTAGATTTTCCTTTATCAGCCATGTTGATGGTGACTTCAGGGAATTCATCCTCTTGAATAGCAAACTTCTTGCTGAAACGTCTCGGCCTGGGCTTTGACATTTTGGTGAAAAGTCTCTGGAACATTGGGACTCTTTGCGGGATGGCTTCTCGTTTGGAGTAGTCATATTCCGATAATACTGCTCTAATGAGTCGTGCACAAGAACAATGAGATCGAATAATTTTCTTTCGAAATTTATTCACACCCCCAACCTGATAATACGATTCATCGGTATGATTGCCAAAAAATCGTATCGTTTGTTGGCATGACCTCCCAGGTATGACGATGTCTTTTGGTGAATGCGTCTTCTTCTGAGGGTGTAAAACCTTGTTGGCATTCTCAGGACAATTTATTACTGTCTTTGAGCGATCCAAGGTTATGTCGGGAGTCACACGTTTAGAACCACCCCCTTGTGGGTATGGAGTCTTAACAGGCTCCGAATGCTGATTTTGCACAACTCCAGACATTAGAATCCAAACTTTACAGAGTTTTGGTGATTCTTTGGCCACCGTTTCCTTGTTTCCTTCTCGTCTTTGTTGTAAGAGAGCACGGGCATGAGCAGTGTTTGTACGACGCTTTTGTATGCGTTCTTTGAGGGTCGAGCGAGCCCTCTTAACAAAAGTCCATTCATCTGTTGTGAGTTATGTAGAGATATGAGTGGTTGGTTGTTGAGACAACTGAACCACTTGATGCCTCCTCGACTTTAGGTCCGCGTGATAACGAACCCCGTCGGTTTGTTCCAAGGCCTTAACTATTTGGCGAGCGCGGCGCTGACATTGTCTCTGACGAGCCCTCTTCGTTAGAGTTGGCGAACTTCGATCGAACCATTCCTTAATTAGGGTTGAATCATTGTGAGCAGAGCTTCCGGCTTTAGGGGTCGCCGGGATAATATTGCGAGGGGAGGCCTCGGCAACGATCGGGTGAGAGTCTTCACTTTGTGCCTTCTTTGGCATGTAAGTCTTCTTCAATTGTGAGATCCTCTTGTACTTGCGATATAATAAAGATCTTGAAGAGGATGATGAGAGATATTCCTCAAACTTAGTTTGGTCAAACTCATATTCGACCGTGGATTCAACTGGAATCTTGATCGGCTGCGACACGACGGTCTCGGCAGCGAGACCGTTGGCTCCCACTGTGGTCGCCAGTTTGTTTGCGTCAAAAGTTGGTTTCGTTGTGGAATTCATTATATCTTCGATCGATTACAATAAATTCAAAAGAAATAGCCTTTTTATAAGACTTTTTTACACAACAAAATAAAAATTACAACTTTTTAGAA